CTGTACCATTGGAATGGCTGGTATGGTTCTGTCTCTTCTTTCATCTGCCTGGTTCCCGCTGGATCTTTCTGCACACCAAGATGCCTTGATTTTGACAGGAAACTTGCTTGCAGGTAGAAAAAAGATTGTAGGATTGCTTCGTTGCATGTTCTCTATCATTCTCTCTCCATTTTTTTTTACTCAGAATGCCCTACCTATGTTTATTTATACACAACAAAAATATCTGCAAGGTATAGTGGGCAACCTGTGTGGCAAGTGTGCCACAAATTAGCCCTGCACCCTTCCTGAATTCTACTCTAATCCCCTTCTCCTGCCCAGTCTGCTGTTCTGCTTCCTGCTCTGTCACTGTGCTGCCTGCCTTCTTTCCAGTCTGCCATGTCTCACACACAGAATACCTTTTGCCACTTGTGGCAAGTGTGCTACAGGTTGGCCATCCCTTCTCTAGTTTTAATAAAGTATTTTGCTTTCCTCATGTAAGCTGATTCTGTGGCCTGTCTTTCCTTCCCAATCCCACTTTGTACCATTCTATCAGGTAACAACTATAGGTTGCCTTTGGAGTTGACTTACACTGGATCTTAAATGGTTAAAAAAAATAAAAATTGTACAAACCTATTTGCATGTTAGGCCATGTACAATCTAGCAAGCAAGTGACCGTAGAAGTCAGACCAAGGCCTTGCATGTGATGATGATTACTATACTTCATGAGGCTAAAACAGTCTCAAACCTTGCAGCTTCCACCTAGTCTTTGCTGGTTGGACAGGCAGACATTTGAGACCCTTTTATTTCTTGTATAGCAGTGAAGAAGAAAAAGCCTTGTATGGAATAGCAGAAGTAGGATTTGTAGGCAGCTGAGAGAAACTAATAACTTGAGAAATAGGGTGGAAATTGGTATCAGTCTTAGCCTTCACACACAAGCTGTTTTTTTGAGTATGTGATTTAGCACTTTGTCCCTTGGGTCTCATTCATAAACTTGACAAACTCCACCTTAAAAGTAATTAAGCATTTTGCCTTCCTATTGGACAACTATCCCATAAGCTCACTCCTCTGATCAGTAGGAAACGTTTTTTTTCTAATTTTCAGTCTAAAATTATTTATGGCTTGTCCATACTCACTTGTTCTAGTGTCAGCATAGTTCTGGAGGCTCTTCTCTTTTTCTTGTGTTTTATAATAGTGTTATGGGAAGGAAAGAGCACTGCTATCCCCTTTCAGGCTTTGTTCTGCTAGCTGAAATAAACCAGGTCCTTTAGGAAACTCTCTTAGAATGGACTGTCAGTTCTCCTGACCATCTTAATGTGTGCATAGCTCTTAATATTTAACAATATGTGTAAAATGAACCCACCTCTTAAAGTAGCTTGAATACCACGTGTGCCTTCATGATCTGAGTGTTTTAACTGACATACCATCTTTTCCTTGTCTCTTTAATAATTAAGGCTCCTTGTTATTTCAGCTAGTGCTCCCAAGTGTTTGAAAAACCCTTGGACTACTGAAGAAGATGCTAATACAGGAGCTGCTAAACAAGAGGAGTCCTGGCCAGCTTTGGCTGACCGAACTCTTGTAACGTTGGTAGAACAGCTGTTTTCTCACTTGCTGAAAGTCATTAATATTTGTGCTCATGTAATGGATGATGTTACTCCTGGCCCAGCAATAAAGGTATGACTTTTAAAACTGTAGTGATATAAAGAGCTATTTCTGAAATGTGTATCTTGTTGCACATGATCTGGGCAACCTATAATTAAAAATTGTATTTTGGTGATAGATCTCCAGTGCATAGCTATAGGAAAGCAAGTACAGGCAACCCCCGCTTAGTGCTCCTAATTGGTTCCAGAAAAACTGAGTGTTAAGCGGAACTGTGCTAAGTGAAACCCATTTCCCCATAGAAATGAATTTAAATCATGGTAGATTAGTTATTGCCTGCCCCACCACTGCCTCTCCCCCGCTCGCCTACCCGCACTTCAACCCAGGCCTGTGCTCCTGCCACGCTGCTCTGGGCCCCTGCCGTCCCTGGCCCTGGGCACAGGTGTGGGTCCTGTGCTTCTGCCGCTCCACTCTGGGTGCAGCCCTGGCCACAGGCACCGGTGCGGGCCCCGCGCTCCTCCCCTCTTTTGCCACTGCTTCTCTTCCCTGCTCCCCCGCCTGCTTCGGCACCACATGCCAACCTGGGCCTATGCTTCTGCCACCCCACCCTCCTGCCGAAACTCCCTGATTCCACTGAGCGCTATAGCAAAACTGGCTGAGCGCTCAGTGAAATTGGGTATCCATTTTACATGAGTGCTATAGCAAAATAGTACTAATTGACACAATGTTAAGCGGGGGTTGCCTGTAAGGTTGGTAGGGACCCAGAAAATGTCTTCTGAGTTAGTAGCATTGTTGAATTATACATTGTGTGTGGTGTCGTCTTAGAGATTTTTAAACTACTTTTTCTCCTTGTGGGAAGTTTCCTTCTACCTCTAGCTTTTGTTTCATAAGCGCATATATTCTGGCAATATTATCAGTCCTGTTCTTGAAGCTCTCTGAATAGGATTTTTAATTACCTATCCCTTTTAATCTGCTCTTCTTTAATCTGCTCTTCATAAATTTATTCCAATAGTATTTCTACATTCTGAGGAGACCTTTTAAATAAGTCCTTTCTTTTTGATCTGCCTCTTTGAGGAACAGCTCAGTTAGATTACAGGGTTTTTTAATTTATTTGTGTGTATGGAAGAAAAAATTGAGAGAATGGAAAGTCCAAAGAAATGAGTTTGCCACTTTCAAAATCAAATGCAAAAATGGTAAAGTACATTCATATCTTTTGTGTGAATTCTGTCTACTACATTCACAAGCCTTCCTTATTCGCAGACATTTTCATTTGTCTGGTAGCACTCTTTC